AAACGAGAATAATTACGAGTAAGATAGTGCATATATGCTTATCATTTTAATGAATTATTAATAAGAGTAAAAAATTTATAAAGTTAAATTAAATAAATACATTAAATAAATTTTACTTAAATAAATTCTTGTTTCTTATACATATATATATATCATTTACTTTCTAATTTAATGTTAGTTCTTGCTGCATGTTACATATCTATTTATCTGTTCCTGCCAATCTGGCCTCGTATATTTGATGTAATTTTGGCTATAAAAAATTAATTTTCCTACTTAATTCTTTTGCATACAAACACAGCCTTGTGCATAGGGGCAACTGCATTGACAGCAACAGGCACGATGCTGATTGCATACTTCAAACATATTTGTGGAATGTTTAGCATTGCAAGGTAGAATTCAATATGATCATTTGTTTTATAAAATGAAATCTATTCTTTGTTCATTTTCAATCAGATCTAAAAAAAATTAAGAACTTACAGTAAAAAATATGTATTCACATAGTTTCCGTATTAAGAAGGCAATGACAATTAATATGCAACAAGATGTTTCTGAAGAAAAAATGGTTATAATTTATAAAGGAATAATCTGTGCGATAGACATTCATCGCAAAGCTACAGAGTCAGTACACATTCTGTAATATCTGTCTGTAACGTGCTCTACTAATTTTTGTTTTATTTCTGAAGGTTTTCTCAAGTCTTTATAAAGAGTTTTGAAGGATCTTTCTTTTGTTTAATAGCGGCTGGTATGGTTTGCTTAACCAGCACTCTTGTTCAAGTAAGTTTTATTTTTTGTTATTAAACGTATCATTCCATGAAAGATACAGTTTTTATAATATTAAATTTAAATAAAGAATCTTAAATTAGAGCAGTATGGAAAAATAATTTTCTTTAAAAATATAATCATTCAAGAAATCATCATTATTCTTCATTTAACTTTTTTTTATAATCATAAACTATATATATATCCATTATTCGCATACGTATGTTATAAAAATGATACAGTTACCTAATATGCGAAATCCATAAAGAAAATAATTTATGATTTGTAATGCAAGTTGTATAATTTTTCCTAAGGAATTATAGAAAAATTTCAAAATTTCTTGCTTGTAAAAAGCTAAAATACACATATAACATACGTATCATATTTTTTAGGTCATATCATATAATAACACAGAGCAACTTGTATTAGGACTTGTACAGATAAGTGTCCTCTATGTATACATGTTTTTGTCTAATTATACCGCACAAGATATTACAGATCACAATGAATACGTATTTGTTACAGTGTAAGAGACATTTGTACGTTCATATTTAAGAAATTGTTTTACAATATTCTTGTAACAAAATGCTGAGTTAACATCAGTAATCAAAAATAATACTATTCTTGAACAAATATCCTATAACAAATATTTTTATTTCTTCAGGTTATGTTTTCATGTTATGTTTATTAATTTATTATTGATTTATAGATATGATGTTGTATGGTATGTGGTTCCGTTACGCATACAGAAAATGATGTTATTTCTACTGCAAAAGGGTACAAAAGCTTTTCATTTGATTCTCGGTGGAATATTCATTGCGTCTATGGAAAGTGCTGCTACGGTAAGAGACATATACAAATCTTTTGTTCCCCATGAATATTATTGTTTAATCGAAAATAATAACATTCACAGTCATTCAACATTTTAGAATTATTTAGATCAAATAAAATAGCTCTATTAAAAGAAGTTAGGAACAAAATGTAAATTAATTGAATTAAAAAAATAGAATAAAAAACAAAGAAAACTGTTCAATTAGTATTATATATTCAATTGTTATATATTCATTTGGTGTGCTGCACGCAAGAATATTATATAATAAATATTCCCCATTTTTAAATATATTGATGGATAATCCGAAAAAATGGATAATTTAAATAAGCAGGGGGAAGTCGCCTATATGACATTCCTTGACGTTTAAAATTATAACAAAAGCACCGAAGGGAGCAGAACATTTGTGTAATTAAACTTTGGTTCATTAGAAATAAAATGATACTTTTATGAAATAATTAAATTTTTATTTAAATCATAAATTTTTAAAAAAAGTTTATCTTTCGATACAATTTGGAAACCGGATCATGACATTGTACCACTTTCTAAATCATACCGCGTGCCCGGTGGCGGAGGAAGAGAATAGACGGAACCCTCCGCAATCGTTAATATATGTTCGAAAGATTCCTGCTTTCGTCCTCCCTCGTAAAGTCAAAGTGAATTTTTTTAAAATTAAATCTCGCTTTGCGTGCAAATCTATGAACCGCGCTTCACCTCTGAATAATGAAAGGGAAATTTTAATATTAATAAACAAATGTAATATATCGCTGTAAGAGTCAGAAAAACGTATGCACATGTATAGCATGTTGATGTATATCATGAAGATGTATTCCGCAGCTGTAACAGATTTCTTAATTTCAATATAGCCAAGTGTTAACTTTAAAGCTTAATATCTCGTTTCGCAAGACAGTCCCCACTTTTTTCTGTCAGATTTTTTTATTTTATGTAAAAGCGCGTCAAATGAGCTAATTTCATCCAAATCGGAAGTGCGGTAATTCTTCTGGATAATTACCAATATCAATTTATATATTAAAACTTCATTTTTCTCAGTCCTTATATTCTTCAGAGTCTGTATGCTATAGATAATTTAATAATAATTCTTCGCGACCGATGCTAATCAAACGTAACCTAATAATGCGTACGAGCCGCGATAATAAGAATTTGCGTCGCTTGTGAAAATCGTATTGGTACAATATAAAGACCAGCGACAAGAACGATTTATCTAACTCCATCTATTTTGACAAATTTGCATTAACAACGTAACTAACAAATATTATGCTAATTTTATGAGATATTCGAAAAGAATTTAAATATCAATTGTCACCCTGTAGTACACTAAGATTCATTTATCACCTTGTATTGATAGCACTTTAATAAATTGTACAAAGGCTTAAATCAGACACCAAACAAAATCACTTTTGAATGTCACTCGTAAACAGACGGCTCAAAGACAAAACAAAAATGGCAGTTCTTGTTACTAGCCATGTTACTAGCGTCATATTAATGTCATTACTCTTAAAAAAAAATGTTTCGTTTAGAAAATACAATGGAGATACGATTTAACCAATGATACGATTTATCCAACTCCATCCTATATTGTCAATCTATTATTTTAACAGACATTCTCCACGCAATATAGTCTCTTAAAGATTCAAACAAAACAAGCTATTTTCATTACAGTTGATGGGTACTTCAATATCTTACTTCACTGTTCTCTATTCTACAAGTACAAAATAATAATTGCAAAATAATTAAGACAGGTATATAAAAGTGAAAAAGATATGAAAAAGTAAGAGAGAGAGAGAAACAAAAAAGAAGAAAAATGTAAACTAATTTTCTTAAATCAAAATCATTTAGCACTCGGTTTTAAGCGTCGCTTCCTGTAAGTATTGTTTCAATTTAAAAAAACGTAAAAATTATTAAACAGAAAAACCGTACATATTATAAAATATTTATATAAAAAAATGTAGAATTTAAAATTGACATTACATTAATAAATCACAACATTGAAATGTATGTGTTAGGAAGGTCGTGCAACGCACCTGCGAAGTCTATTAACGCACGATTCCTTCGAATAAAGTATGTATTTCTTTATGCAAAATAAATATACATTGCATTATTGCTATAATCAAATCGATCATACACCATTAACCATATATCTTTTCCAGATAAGCGAATTACGATCATGTGTTTTTTTATCCGACAATAATATTTCCTTCTACATTGTATTTAAATTAAAATAGGCAATTCAGTTTAAAATTTAAATAAAAAAATATTTCATTGTATTTCGAAGACGATAATATTTTTAATTATAATTAAATAATTCAATGACTCGCCTCATAAACAAAATATTAAGTTCCAATTTGAAGCGATTTGATCATATTATCGATCAACTCTCGTTCGAATTCGGATCTTGTACTTTATAATTCAAATAAGTTATATTATTTTCCATGTTAATATATTCTGTATTATAAACAGGATATTTGTTTTACATATATTTATTAAATTGAGAATGTGTGGATATCCGAATTTCAAGATAAAATTTTTTATTCGGGAATTCCCGAAACTCTATTCGGAACCCGATATTCAAATAGGGACAATATTTTTTTGACCGATCCTAAATTTTTAAGTTTAGAAACGTTTCCATATATATCATGTAAATAAATGCAAGTATTCATAAAGAAAAAAATTAATTTATAAAAAATTGTTTTATTTTAAGTTGAAGTATAGATAATATAATTTTTCGACAATTTCTGATATTAATCTTTTACTTCGTTATTACTTTCGGTAATTATATCAGCATCGGAAAACAATCGTTCGCTTGAGACTTGAGTTGCAGGAATAGCAATCAGTCAATCAGTTACTATTGCTATAATATCGGAAATCATATAATATAACATTATACTTACACCAAATAAAATATTTTTCGTTTAGATACTATATCTTCTTCAATGTCTTTAATTCTTTATATAAAGAAAGCAAATAAATTTGTTTCTTTTTCCTCTTTGGATCATGCAGAGTGAATAAACATCGCTAACTCATATTTCGGTCCACTTATATAAAAAATATAAATAAAAAGAATCATTTCAATAAATGTACACTATTAAAAACAAAATGTTTAAGTTAAAATTATCATTTAAGTTAAAATTAACAAAAATGTATGGTCGAATTTCTAAGCGTGCAAAAGTATTAAAATTAATTTAACTTTCTGCATGTTTGAAAAGTCCATTACGTCATTAAAGTCAACATTTTAAATTTAATAGTTTAATTATGTTTATTCAACAATGTGCGCAATTTGGAAAATGTACTGTTACACCGTTGATATCTAATAAGTGATATATGGTGATACTGACATTATCTAATAAATTTAATTCATTTTCAAATGATAAAACATTCCACTTAAAACTGTTAACAGTTCCGATCTTCGATTTTCTATCGAAAGATGATCTTTGAACTATGGGTACAATAACTTGGCATTCGTCAGTGTTTTGTACATATTAATAGGTTCAAAACAGATCTACAAAAGGAATATTGCATTCTACATACATGAACGCACGAACGAATAAAAGTGGTGTAATAAATAACTAATAATATATATATATATATATAGTTTTACACACACTCATACACACATAAACACACGCACACACACACACATACATTTTCTCTTTTCTAGTTTATTACGAAGATAAACTCACTTTCAATGTGTTACACTGTCAGAAATGTGAATTTATTTTTTCGGATAGAGTATTATCAGAAACTTTTATTTATAACACCACTGTGGATATAAAAATATCCACAGTTGTATATAAAATATAATTAGCTTCAATATAAAAGGTAACATAAAATATTAATAAGCCGTACATTTCAATACTTTATGAATAAACAAATTTTGTTGAAACTTAAGGTTAAATTTAATGACCAACATTACCTCAAAAGATCAAACGTACCATGTGAGTGTACACATTAGAATGAAACGCATATTACAATAAAAAGCGATGAGTGCGCTTGCGCGGCCATCTATCGAGTTTCTCTATGCGAATGTTTTTCCATGGGATATAAACATCTGTTAAATTTCTTTCAATGTAATTAAATCGATCGTTTAATCATGTTTTTCTTATAAAACAGTGATGAATTCTAAGTACTTTAATCTCGTGACATTATTGCAATTCGCTTTGCTTGCTGGCATATTAAGCAATTGAAGATACAATTTACTAAATGAGAAAAACTGAAATATTTTCAACCAACTGTTAGTTTAATAGAATCGGAAAAAGGGAATAGACAATTTCTTATTTTTCACAGTTAAATGTACTTCAGAGTTTACAAAGATGATTTGTCTTGAGACGAAACACTTCAGGCTCAATAGATTTCTTTTGCTCGCGATTGGTTTATGGCCTCACCAGAGATCGAAACTTGCTCAAATTCAATTTATCATACTTTTTACTATTTTAATAACTTTTATTGTATTCCAGGTGATAATAAGTAATTTTTCATACGAAACAATAATTAACAGACTAGAATTTGAAATTTATAAATCGCACTAAGGAATTATTCATTTAATATGAAATTTTCAACAGAATCAGTAAAATCTTATTTACAGTTTACAACGTTTATAACTTCAAAATGTACCACACATCTTATTACGAATGTTCTGTCTTCCGCATTTTTCTCTATTTGCTATGCGATTAAATATCATTCGTTTTGGATTAACGCCAGTACTGTAAGTCAAATATTTATTACACAGTTTCCAGACAAATATTCGTGATAAATAAATCTTCAAATATGACATTTTTTAAATATTTTGTACGAAAAGTGCAATATTATTGATGTAATAGATGAGAGTTTCACTAGAACAACTTCAGCATATTTGTAACGAAATAAAAAATAAAAACGAAATTGCTATCATAGAAAAGTATGGCCGTATAGGAAAACATCAAACGAGAATAATTACTTAAATAAATTCTTATTTCTTATACATATGTATATCATTTACTTTCAATAATTTTATGTTAGTTTTTGCCGCAAGTTGCATATCTATTTATCTCTTCCTGCCAATGGGACTTCTTATATCTGACGTAATTCTGATGATAAACAATTCCCGATCACGCTCTGCAGCGATTCATATTGCGGTTTACCTATTTTTCTCTTCCTGCCATTCTGGCCTCGTATATTTGATGTAATTCTGGCTATAAACAATTCCCGATCACGCTCTGCAGCGATTTATACTCTAACAGAATATTTTGTTGATCAAGAAAACTTTTCCTACTTAATTCTATTGCATACAAACGCAGCCTTGTGCATAGGGGCAACTGCATTGACAGCAACAGGCACGATGCTGATTGCATACTTCAAACATATTTGTGGAATGTTTAGCATAGCAAGGTAGAATGCAATACAATCATTTGTTTTATAAGTGAAATCTATTCTTTATTTATTTTCAATCAGATCTAATAAAAATTAAGAACTTACAGTAAAAAATATGTATTCATATAGTTTCCGTATTAAGAAGGCAATGGCGATTAATATGCAACAAGATGTTAATGAAGAAAAAATGGTTATAATTTATAAAAGAATGATTTATGCGATAGATATACATCGCAAAGCTACCGAGTCAGTACACATTCTGCAATATTTGTATAACATGCTCTACTAATTTTTATTTTATTTCTGAAGGTTTTCTCAAGTCTTTATAAAAAGTTTTGAAGGATCTTTCTTCTGTTTAATAGCGGCTGGGGCGGCTTTTGTTTTGCAC